TGCATTACTCAACAGAGCGGTAATGAAAACTCACCCTTGGGTGATCTCCTGTTCTTTGGTTTGTATATGTTCCAGGATGCTGTTCTGCAACGTCCTGCTCATGTTTCTTGTAGAGCTGTCCCTTTTATTTGGCCTTTTTGAGGACACTAAAATATGTTACTTAAATTATGGTCCAGCAATGTGTTTCTGAATGAAACTTCTTTGGGATTTTTAATGTGTGGATTAAGCTACTAAAGCTTTTTGTTTGCTTATTGAAATTTCTCTATTAACCTGCTCTGAGGAATGGCTCAGCAGTACAGCAACAGGTGATTACCCAAGTCTTTAGCACTAAACAATGTAAATATGCCTAGTGCTGTCACTGGAAATATTAGCAAAGTAAGAGAATATTGAAATTTGATGGGAAGGGCAGTAATTTAATTGATCAAGAGTAGTGTAACTGTCTGAAGTGTCTTAGTATCTTTTATTTGTTTTTGAGATTTATAAGCAATTCTCTTTCCTTCAAAGGAAGATACCCCCAAGATGTCTCTTTCTCATTCCCCGTCTTTTACCTTTGCCCAGCTCAGCACTCGCATTTCAAGACTTAACAGTCTCCCGAATCCTTTTGGTACTGACAGAGAAAAAATGCTTCCTTTATTATTTCAATGAGCTTTTGCCAAATGGCTGTAAAATTCTGAACATACTTCAGAATCTGATTGTGCTTGGTAGTTTCTGATAATCTTAAATAGAGTAGGTTAGTATTAATTGTTCGTTATCTACCAAAGCCTCCTCTTTGTTAGTTTATTTTACTTTGAAACAGAATAATATAGTGTTCCTGCATTTTTGTCATGTTCTTTCTTGTCACAGAAACAGCAGCGGAGGCTGAGAGTTCAGTGCACTATTTTCAGTCAGCAGTTTATTTAAATGGCAAATGTATTGTTTTACCCAGCATGGTGCCCAGATTTCAGGATGCAATCCAGTTGGTACGAAAATGTTATGAGGACAAGGGTTAGGAAAAAACATAAAAGCTTTTTTGAAACCCAACTTCCTTTTCTACAAAGAATATAGAAATCAACCATCAAATTAAATGAGGGTATACAGTTCTGTTTGAAATTTTAAATAGGGTTTGAGTAAAGACCACACATAATCCTGAGAACCACTGGATTAAACATGCAGTCAAGTTTTATTTCAGATATTATGGAATGGAATTTTATTTCTGCTGAGAAATATCAGATAAATAGCTGGTGATGCACAGGTGCTTACAGTACACCTCGCCACCTTAAAAAGAATTGATTTGGGGGTAAAACTTATAGGACAAGTATACTAGCAAATAGGCAAGTTTATAGGTACTTTGACATACATATATACGCAAAGATCTTTCTTTTCAATATGTTCATATGCCTGCATTTCTCTGTGCATAGACATGAACTTCATGTGATCATGGATGAAATATATATGCTGTCTGTTTATGGTGATGCCACCTTCACCAGTGTCCTTAGCTTAGACTGGTAAGTGTGATTTCTTAGCAGAGATTGGAAGACACTTAATCCTAAACAGAATCTATGCTATTTTTTTATGCTGGCTAGTCAATATAACTAAGTCACATCCAGACCTTCGCAACTAGGAGACTAGTTAGTAGGAGAGATGTTCCTCACAGGTTGCTTTAAAGGGCAAGTCCCTTGCTTCCAGCTGGTGTGCATAGCATAGAAATAACAGTCAAAGACAGACAGAGACCTCTGTCATCTTTCCACTTTGCTTTATTATTATTATTATTATTATTATTTTCTGTTATGCCATGTATGCAAATTAAACTGCTAGAAGTTGTGCAGGTTACTTACTATAGTGAGTGTCTGATTAGTATCCTGTTGGGCTGTTAGTTTCCTGGGTGAGATGATGAAAAAACAAATGTTCAAATAATATTTAAAGCTATTGGCACGCGACTAACGAAACTTCTTTCCCAAAAGTAAGTTACTGTCTTTGTGTAACTGCCTTAAGTGTCACACTGATGGTGAATTCCCAAGTCCGTAAAAGTGCCAGCAAGCAAGAGTGACCAGCGCTTGTCTTATCCATCCAAAAACATAAACCAGAAATGAACCATACAGAAGCCAGTACAAACCATGAAACCAGAATAGGCTCATTACTGTGAGAATTCACCCAGTTTCAAGTGTCTGAGGGAGGAAATCTTCAGCCTTGGAGCTGCTTACAAAAAGTTACACAAAGGAGAAAAGCCAACTTCTTCAACTGTCCAACTTCTTCTCTTTCCTCTGAGATGTATTTAGTTTAGTTGCATCACGTAATTTAAATACATGCCCTAAAACATTTAATTCTCTCTTTCACAGTCTGAAATGTAGTACAGATGAGCAAAGCATTATTTTCACTCAACGACCATTTTCCACCATTTATTTTGTTTCAGTATGAATTTGATCACTGTAATGAGAATCTGTGTGAATCTTAAACAGACCATTATGTCTTAGTGCAAATCATTTTCTTTTCCATTTTGTGTGTGTGTGTTGTAAGATAGCTTTGTTACAACAGCTCTGAAAAAACATCGTAATATTTTAAGGGTTTATATACAAATTTTACAAAAAAATGTATTATAGTTTTATGTATTTTATTTCTTTTTTGTAACCCATATAATTTGTTCCTCTGTAACAGCAGTTCTTTTAACACTTCTCATTCAGTGTACCAGACCCAGAACGGATACATTTTATGTGGGGTTTTAGCAAGGTAGGTCAATATATTATGTTTATGTTTTAAATGATGATATTTCTCCCCACAAATTCTGACATAATTTGTATTACAGGTGCCAAACTGAGTTCATTCTTGTTTACTTTTTTTCTTTAGTGGTCTCAAATTTGTTACAGTAGAGTTTGCTTTGTGATACACTTAACAGAAAAAAAGTAATGCTTATGTATGAAAGGCTTTGCTTGTGGTGTGGGAAAGCATAGTGAAAGTTGAAACATTCCATTTCGTTTTGGATCTTCATTTTGAAGCCTTCTGCCTTTTCTTGTCTTGGAGGGAATTGCAAACTGATGACTGCTCCGAAACAGGGCTCACATCACTGACTTCTCTTTCACTATTGCTGTCTCCATCTGGAGATAATTAACATGCATAACCAGTTTATCTAAGAACTCCGTAATAATTGTAATGATTCAAAACTGGGTTAACTATTCTTTCCATCAAGCTGCTAGGACAGGTTAAGCAACTTGTGAGGATAGAAAGCTGGATTTTATGCCTTTCACTGTGACACAATTTGGCTTCCTGCTTAAGGACACAGGGAAAGTTTCCGTTAATACATTTTTGCTGTTGTACACTTAGGTAGATTTGGAATCACTTATGAAGAATGCCTGCTGCAGATCACAGGTTTAAATAGCCAGTATTGGCGATTCCAAATTTAGTCTCTGTATTCACTCATCTGTTCTTCTTTCTATGTCATCAAATGTTATTATTACAGGATAAGAAAATCTTATTTTGCCACACAATTGATACGGCAATCTAATTTTTCTGAGAATTTCTATTCTATTCTGAGAATTTCTATTCTATATATCATAATGACTGCAGATGGCGGTTTGATAAAATACAAGCATAAAGTAAAATTTTACTTCTCTCTCTTCTTTTCGTCCTACAAGGATTTTGGTATGAGTGGTATCAGAGTGGGAGTGCTGTATACCAGGAATCATGAGATTCGGAAAGCTGTGAATCAGCTGGCTGTCTTCCACGGCTGTCCTGGGCCCGTGCAGCATGTTCTCAGTCAATTCATTAGTGACAGAGGTTAGACATGCTAAAAATGTGTCCATTGGACTTTCCTTTATAGGCAGAAATAAAACAGAATGCTGTTTTTCTTGCTGTGGTAGATTGGTTGGACAACGTGTTTTTTCCTACCAACAAAAAGCGACTTAGAGAAGCACAGAATATTCTTGTGGATGGACTTGCAGATGTTGGAATACCTGTGCTCAAAAGTTCGGGAGGACTGTACGTGTGGGCAGACTTCAGAAAAGTATGTAAGAAGTTTGAAAAGGGGCAGGGATGTTAAATAACAATAATTGTGTATGTTGGTACACACTACAATATCGGGTCCCTGAAAATCCTTTAAAGAATTTATGAATTTGTTCAGTCTTTAACAAAGTTTTATTTTCTTCTTTTAGTTCTTGAAATCACAGACATTTGAAGCTGAACTTGAATTATGGCAGAAGCTCCTTGATGAAAAACTCCTGATTAGTCCTGGAAAAGCTTTTCATTGTTATGAACCTGGATGGTTTAGATTTGTTTTTGCTGATTCTGTAGATAAGATTTATTTGTGTAAGTTTGTGTTACTTTTGATGTACCACAAAGCAGCATTCAAGTTTTAAGAATATGTAACATTGCAAAATGATAAGTTCTAATTTGATTGTTCCATCCAAGTTTGTGAGGGGACTATAACGTACAAACTGGGAAGTATTATACTGGCCTCAAGTGTAGATTGCAAAGTATTTGTTTTGGATTATATCAATTCTTTGAAGTTTGCAGAGCTTCGTTTCAAACATCATCTTCAACTCTATCAGGAGTCCGTGAATCAAATTTTATGTAGCATGTTCTTTCCTCTCTCAAATTACCCTTTATAATTTCATGTGAGAATTCCTCAGCACCACTCATTTTTATGCAACTCTTGTGTTGTTTATGAAAAACTCACCCATCATCTCCTATGTCATAAAATTCTCAATCTTGAATCAGTGCAGTGCACCGTTGTCAAAACATTTGTTTGTGAATTAATGGGAGTAATGAGAATATAGAATCATACAAAAAAAAAATGTATGTTGAAGGGGAACAGCATCCTCCTCAAAGCAAGGCCAGTTTGTGAGTCAGAGCAGGTTTCTCAAGGCCTTCTTTAGTCAAGTTTTGAGACTGTCAAAAGATGGAGGTTATCCAGAGAGATTGCTCTGAGCAACCTGTCCCTGTATTTAATCACTCCCACTGTGCAAATTATTTCTATGTGTCCAGTCAGTTTTCACTGTTTCTTTTGGCAAAGAGACTTTTGTAGTGAACTCCATTTCTTTTTTACAGGTATTCAGAGACTCAAGCACGTGCTGCACACTGATGCTGCTGGATCAGCTGCAAACAGCACATCTTCTAATGAAGATGCTGTGTCCACTCCAGAAGAAGGTTCTTCATGCAACCCTTCAAATGCAACAGGAGATGATGCCTCCCAGTTAAAAAATATACCACTTTATTATAATCATATATGCATTTAATGCCTTGCCACAATTCAGCATGCTGATGTTTACTAAGGGAATGTATGGACAGTGTTCTTGCTGGAACCTTGCACAGCGATCTCACTTTTTGCTGTCACCTGGCATTACTAAATTTACAGCTGGGGCTGCTAAAAATCAATCTTGGGAAAATAGACATCAAGGATATTATGAATTTACCCTCTCCTCAGCACAGTACTCAATTTCTCTCAACTTTAAGCATGCAAAATGTCAATAAAATCAGAGAGACTCATGTGTATGCTTGCACAGTTGTTGAATTATTAATTTTTTAACACTTTGGTAAAAAATGTGCATATGAATATATATTTTGGACTGTATATTTTAAACAGAAGCCTAAAAGTACTGAAAGAACAAATTTGTGTATCCATGCCAAGATTTGGAAAAAATGAGGACATGGTTGTTACACTACAACAAGTCTTTGCAGGGGATTCATCACAGGATCCACCTTGAAGAATCATTATCATTGCACATTCCCCTTTAAGAAGTAGTAGGTATCAAAGAAAGCTAGCAAACTACAAGTTCAAACAAAAAAAAACAAGATGTTTCCCCTCCTCCCCCTACAACATACTGTGCAGTTTAGCTGGGGAATTCTCTGCTCCAAGATATTTTAGTTTGCATAGGTCCAAACAGGTTCAAGCATGCATCTCTGAACTGTAAGTTCAGAAAATGAATCTATGTTTCAGAGAATAAATCTGTTTTTAACCACTATTGCAGATAGGTTAATCAATGTTATGTTAACAGTTATGTTAACTCTTATGTTAATCAATCTGAAAGTCTGCTTCCGAGTGTTAGGAAGTAAAACTATGCTGAGTTTTGTAACAGAAATATTAAGACTGCTATGAAGGAAAGGGCTTGTGTGTGTGTGTGTTTGTGTGTGTGCAAGCACTAGAAGAAGGTTAAAGGAAAGGCCTGTATAGATAAAGAAGGACAATCTGCTCCCAGTCATCCAGGGAATGGGGGCAACCCCAGAAGACCTGCTGCCTGATAAGACCACAGCACAGATGTCTCCTTCATGGAAGATGGCAAGGCCAGCAAACCACACAGGACATTCCCTCTTCTGCGACTGCAACAGGAAGATAATCACAAAGGAAGAGTCTTAAAGCACATAAGAGACCAGGACTCAGTAGTCAGTGCCCCTTGTCTTCTGTGCTGTACGCAAGGGACCCTGGCCAGGGCACGAGCACATGCTGTTAGAAAAGGGCCAGTTTGGCTTGAGAGCTTACAGATGAAGGACATTGCATTATAACTGCCCATAATCACCCCACAGACCTTTTCATCCCACAGACCTTCTACAAATATGTTGATTTCCCAGCCATACCACTTCTGCTGATCTCACCAAAGGAATCATTGAGCTGGATCCTGGATCTCCAGACTTTGTACAGGGTGGTGGTAGGTACGACTCACTTGCTTTCAGTTTCAGTCTTGCTCAAGCTGCAGCACGTACGACTTCTTGGAAAAAGGGACATTTGGTGGGAAAATCTTCTGTCTTACATAGCGGCAATCTATTCCTAATCAGTTTAGAAGAAAAAAAGGCATAGGAAGGTGGGAGAGTGAAGGAGAAGGCTGTTCATTCTCCACTTCTCAGTGGAGAATCCCAGGAAAAGGGTGTCTCTCCTATTGATACCTCTGGCTGGCTTTGTCTCACACCTCAAGGACTGCCCACCTTGGTTATAAGGAAGGGATTAACAAAAGGTAAGTTTTTGAGTGCACTTTAATAGCTGCAGTTTGTCTATAACCGTTGCTGCTCTACTGAACTTTATCGACTTTCAAGCATGTACGTCATTATGTTAGATTTTACAGCTACCTTATCCATCATGTGCATCGAATAAGTAGGTGACTGCAGATCCCTGGGCTCTCCCCGATAAAGACCTCGGTTTTTGAGAAGGACTACAGAGGTTTCCTTTGGACATTCATTTTGCTGCAGTAAGATTCTTGCTCTGGAGCGAAGAGCCTCTCATTGATTTCTTTGTGATGTTTTGGAAGGTGAAGGATACCTGGACAAAAGAAGCCAGCACAGAACTAACACTACTATGCAGAAAACATGTTTTCAGTCAAAGAAAACCATCCAGGAGGAAAAATTCATCAAAAGAGTAGGGAGGGAACCTCTCCTCACATACTGCCTACGTATGTTGGAAGCAAAAGAGAGCGGTCCTGGAAGCGGGCAGAGCAGAATCGCCATGGCACAATGCAAGGACTCCTTGATGAAAGGTAATAGGAAAATGCTGTGTGTGGACTCCCACGGCGTGGGAAATGCATCTTCTGGAGAAAGCCAGGCACAACAGGGTGTTTTATTGTTGGTGGACTGCTGAAATTTGAGAGTTTGAGAGACAAGAAGTTCCCAAATCCTGCTTACGTTTCAGATGTCACAAGCTGCCTTATGCTGTGATCTTATTAAGATATAGGATTTGACCAGAAAGTAAATGATTGTTAAGATCTCTATTACGGATCCTCTGTAGCTTGGAGAGAATTTTCAGACTATGACCTCCTGAAGACAAACAGAAAACTTGCCGTTGATATCACCTAGAGAAGAATGCGTGTTAAGACAAAAAAATAAAAGTGCTTTGTTTTGAGTCTGGGCCTTGTTGATATCACCTAGAGAAGAATGTGTGTTAAGACAAAAAAAAAGTGCTTTGTTTTGAGTCTGGGCCTGTTAAGAGATTCAATTTATAGCAAGGCTCAAAAGATTACACTGGTATGTGTAATCACTGAGGTGATGTTCTTCAGCAACGTAGCAGGAACTGGGACCACCCCACAGATTGTGAGTGGGGTGGCAAGCAGGAACTGCTGGAAGGAGCTTTGCACCTGAAGAAAACCTCAAACGTAGTGTTTGGCCACTTCCTGAGAGAAAAGCGATACTCTTCCCATGTTCTCCCTGAAGGAAAGGGTTTACAAGGTTTGGATGGAGCAATTGCAGTAGGTAAGGACACAGAAACTTGGGTGAGCTTTTCTGAGTCAGTTACAGGGTCAGCAGCCAGGCCAGTATATTTGGGGCTTTTTCAGATAGACACCACCTTCCTATCCACCCATCAATTCCAGTTGTAATTATTTTTTCCCTAAACAGACATCCGATACCTTGAGGATTTCATGAAGATGCATGAACCTCCACATGCTGTTGTTGCCCGTGAAGAAGTTGTTATTGTCAATGAAAGCATTACTGTTTGCAAACGCAGGCCGCTAAAGAGATATAAACTCTCTGAAACAGTAGACCAAATGCGAGAACACAGAATGTCTGAATCTTCTGTGCGTGAACCAAACTATATGTATCATCTTGCTGAAGGTAAGTGTGACTGTGTGAGTTTGTGAAAAGAGAGAAAGGGAGAAGCACCAGTACAATATTCTGCTGTTGACCATTGTGGGCTTCTGTACAGGATTGTCTTTATTGTTCACAGTGTATTTCTAAAAGCATTTGGGCTCTGAGAGCATGTTAATTTTCCAGGTGTTCATGTACATATGGTGTATGCTGCTCGTGCAGTGGTGGCTCTTGCTTGCAGAGTTCTGGTCAATGCTGTGCAGCCAGCAGGTACACTGCTAGTCTCTTCAGCCAAACTTTGGCTGGAAGGGGACCAAATGCATCAAATGCAAAAACATTGCTAGTTTTGGAAGTTTTAGCTGGAACAACACCTTCCCCTTATTGTCATCCTTTGAGTATACGCTAGATATACCCTTGGGTTGTGTTTCCAACCTGCAGATTCCCAAGATCTGAAATTCAGTCTTCTCTCTGTTTTACCTTGCATTTGCTCTAACCTGCCTAGGCAAATTAATCTCATTTAACAACACGAAGGAAAATATAATTTATAAGTGCTCCTAACTCTTTTCACGTGCAAGTTGTTGCACTGAAGACCTTGCTCAGGCTAGAGCTGTGGAAGTATATTTGCCAAACAGACCTGTGCTCCCAGTTCAGTGAGTGCATGCCTGATCAGGAGTCACACAGGTGTCTAGTTTGAGTTACTTTCATGGTTTTGGAGAGAAAGATTCACTTAGCTAGGAGAGGTACCAGTTCTGTCTGGATGGTAATAGCTAAAAAATATACTTGATTTGTGTAGGTTTCTTATTGCATAAGGTATTAAAAGAGATGAAACCACAGTACTATGTCTATTTCTACATTTGTTCTCACTCTCGTAAGACCATTTAAGGCCTTCGTTAATGATTATGCGCAATATAGCAGCAACCACAATAAAAGTGATCTTTGTTCCTTATGTAATGTGTATTGTAAATATAAGGACTAAAATATGCACTAACTCAAGCATGAGGCACAGATACTCACCTCCTGATTTATCACAGAAGGGTTGAGGTTGGAAGGGACCTCTAGAGGTCATCTAGTCCAATCCCCTGCTCCAGCAGAGACACCTAGAGGGACACCTCATGGTTATCTTGTTGTCAATCAGGACTCCCAAGTCCCTCTCTGCGGAGCTGCTTTCCAACAGGCCAAGCCCTAATCTTGAGGGGTTATTCCTCTCCAGGTGCAGAACCCTGCACTTGTGCTTGTTGAACTTCATAAGGTTCCTCTCTGCCCAACTCTCCACCATCCTGTCTAGGTCCATCAATGGCAGCACAGCCCTCAGGAGTGTCGGCCACTCCTCCCAGTTTGGTATCATCCACAAACTTGCTGAGGGTGCCCTCTGTGCCCTCGTCCAAGTCATTGATGAACATGTTGAGCAGTACCAGGCCCAGTACTGACCCCTGTGGGACACCAGTGGCCACAGGCCTCCAACCAGACTCCGTCCCATTTACCACAACCCTCTGGGCTTTGCCATCCAGCCAGTTCTCAATCTACCTCACTGTCTGCTCATCTAACCCACACTTCCTGAGCTTCCCCACGAGGAGAGTGTGTTGAAAGCCTTGCTGAAGTCAAGGTAGACAACATCCATGGCTTTCCCATCATCCATCCAGACAGTCATCCCATCGTAGAAGACTATCAGGTTCGTCAGATGCAACTTCCCCTTGGTGAATCCATGCTGACTACTTCTGATCACCTTCTTTTC